AGCCAATCCTGATATTCCTTGCCTGAGGTAGCCCCTTTACTACTTGAGACCAGAGTTCTTAATCAACATCAGTGACAAGTTGTAGCAATATCTACTGACTGCCCATTACACGCACATGGGGCAGTAGGTGGAGTGATTAGGAGAGCTTCGTCTGGATTCAAAACTTGGCTCATAGCATCTCTGAGTGTGTGGATATGTAAGCCACTGGGCAAGTTACGTAACCTCTCAGTGCCTCAATGTCCTCTGCTTAGAGAATGGGGATCATGTTAGTAGCTATAGCTTAAAACATTCAATAAATATATTCACTAAGCATTTACTACCTGCCAGGTGCTAAAGACACAGCAGTGGACAAAAACAGATGAGATCCTGCTCTCGTGGAACTTAAACTGAGCAGGAGGAGGCAGACAAACACATAAACAAATACAGACAAATACAGGTCAGACGATTGTGAGAACAAAAATAAAGCAGTTTAAGGAGACAGCCATTACGGGCAGAGTGGTAAGGACCTGAAGAAGGAGAGGGAGCAGGTCACGTGGATATTACAGGGACAAGTGTTCCAGGCAGAAGGAACAGCAGACGCAGAGACCCTAAGGTGGGAATGTGTTTCACATGCTCAAGAAACAAGAACGGTCAGGCGAGGTGGCCCATGCCTGTAATCCTAGCACTTCGGGAGGCCGAGGTGGGAGGATAGCTTGAGTTAAAGAGTTCGGGACCAGCCTGGGCAATATAATGAGACCCCATCTCTATTTGTTTTAAACTTGTATATTCATTGGAAAAGAAAAGGCTGGGTGCAGTGGCTCACGCTATAATCCTAACACTTTGGGAGGCCGACGGGGGTGGATCACTTGAGCCCAGGAGTTTGAGACCTGCCTGGGGGAACATGGCAAAATTCTGTCTCTATAAAAAAATACAAAAATTAGCCAGGCGTAGAGGAGGGTGTCTGTAGTCCCAGCTACTCAGGGGGCTGAGGTGGGAGGATCACCTGAGCTTGGGAGGTCGAGGCGGCAGTGAGCTGTGACTGTGCCACTGCACTCCAGCCTGGGTGACGGTGTGAGACCCTGTCTCAAAAAAAAAATAACAAACAATAGAAAAGAAAAAGGAAAAGACCGGTGTAGCTGGAGGAGTTTGAGAGGGGCAGGTGGCAGGAGGCCGGGTCCTGCAGGGCCTCGTAGGCTGTATTAAGTCAGGGGCTGGGACCTAATTCTGAGCACCGCAGGGAGGTGGTGAGCAGGAAACACAGGTGAATGGGAGGATTCGCTGAGAAACTCAGAGCAGACAGTGGGTGCTGGGTAAGTATGAAGTACCCGTATTACTTTGTCACCATCCAGCCTGGCACCTCAAGAGCTCCTTCCTCTCTACTTTGCTCACACGTCTTCCAAGCCCTGAACCCAGTCACCTCCTGCCACCTTCTTTCCACCGTCTCCCGGGCAGGGCCTCAGACCCACAGATCCCAACTTGTCTGCACTCAGCCTGAGAACAGGCCCGGGCCAAGCCAGGCAGGGGCCACAACTCCCCAGACACGGGGAACTGGGCCTAAGGGATGGGGGGTGGTCCACCTCCGCCCCTTCCAGCCTCCACCCCGCAGACAGACCCGCAACCTGCCCTCCTTCCCTCCAGGAAAGTCCAGGACACACTCAAAACCCCATCCTGTCCTGGCTGCAGGTATGGAGTAGGCCAGTGTCGGGGGACAGAGCAGCTGGCTGCGTGGAGGGGAGGGCTGAGCGACCGCCAGGAAGGGGAGGCTCCTCCAGTTCAGCTGGCAGCCTCCCCAGCGAGGAAATCCAGCTGAGGCAGGAAACAGGTATCTCAGCGACTTCCCTCCTCGGCCCTGGAAAACACCTTAATCACCACCGGCTCCCTCAAGACGCCTGTCTCCTGCAGGGCCGCCCCAAAGGGGTCAGCAGGCCAAGGCCTGCCGAGTCACCCAGGCCCAGCCCCCACCTCCAGCAAGCCTCCTCACCTCCCAACAGCTGAAATTACACCCACACTTAATCACAGATCAGCTTCCTACGGTCCTGTCCCCCGTCCCGGGGAGGTCTTGAGCTCCCTAAGGCCCATCTCATCCTGCTCCTGTGCCCAACCCTTCCCCATCTGCCACTGGCTCCGGACTGAACTGAAGGGCAGAGGAGAGAAAGGGCAGCAGGCAAGGAGGGTCCAAGGCATGCTGGCACCCTGGGCTAGGAATTGATCTCATTTTTGACTTGCAACAAACTCCTCAACCCCACTGTACAGATGTGGAAACTTTAAGGCTGAGAGAGGAATTTGCCCCAGATCACACAGCCAGAAATGGCAGCCCTGAGACTCAACCTTGGGTCTATAAGACTTCAGGGGAAGACAAGGCATGGTGGTTCATGCTTGTCATCCCAACACTTTGGGAGACCAAGGCGAGAGGATCACTTGAGGCCAGGAGTTTGAGACCAGCCTGGGCAACAAAGTGTGACGCCCTCTTTTTTTTTTTTTGAGATGGAGTCTTGCTCTGTCACCCAGACTGGAGTGCAGTTGCACGATCTCAGCTCACTGCAACCTCCGCCCACCGGGTTCAAGCAATTCTGCAGCCTCAGCCTCCTGAGTACTTGGGACTATAGGCACGTGCCACCATGCCTGGCTAATTTTTTGTATTTTTAGTAGAGACAGGGTTTCACTGTGCTGGCCAAGCTAGTCTCGAACTCCTGACCTCATGATCCGCCTGCCTCGGCCTCCCAAAGTGCTGGGATTACAGGCGTGTGCCACCACACCCAGCCCCCAAAAAACTTTTTATTGTTTTGAGATGGAGTCTCACTCTGTCACCCAGGCTGGAGTGCAATGGTGTGGTCTCGCTAACTGTAACCTCCGCCTCCCGGGTTCAAGTGATTCTCCTACCTCAGCCTCCCAAGTAGCTGGGACTACAGGCGTATGCCACCACACCTGGCTAATTTTTGTATTTTTAGTAGAGAAGGGGTTTCACTATGTTGGCCAGGCTGGTCTCGAACTCCTGACCTCGTGATCCGCCCGCCCTGGCCTCCCAAAGTGCTGGGATTACAGGCATGAGCCACCGCACCTGGCCTGAGAAACTTTTTGAAAAGAATTTTATAAAGAGACTTCAGGGGCCAAGCTCTTTCCAGCCCACCACCAGCAGCCTGGGGTGGGACAGTGACCATCCATGTGTTGCTGAGAAGGCTCTCTAATCCCACAGGATTGGAGCTGCCTGTTTATTTGTCTAAATTACAGTCCACCAGCCTGTGAGTTTTGGGAAGGCACAGACAGGGCCTGTCCTTGCTGGTCCACACCACCCCAGCCCCTAGCACCGCACCAGGTTCATTGGTTCACTGGCACACAGTAGGTGCATGGCAAATATCTGCCCAAAGAACGAACCCCTGTACTCCCGGTGACTGCCATGGAATGTCGCTCAGTGATTATCTGTTGAATGAACAAGTGAATGAGATGATCTGCCGCGGTCCAGGAATGTCTGTGGAAATACCTCATGCACACAGCAAACAACTCCACCCATCGCCATCCTACCGCGCCTGGGCACGGAGGCACGGAGGAGCCCCTCATCAGGGGGCAGAGCTGGGGAAAGGTCAGGAAAGACCGTTGGGCCTCGGAAAACATCCCACGTGCTAAGTTGGTGCCTTGGGAAAAGTAAAAGTCAGGGCTGGGAGTGCAAGTTCAGGTCAAGACTAGGGAGCTACTGGATGGCCCTGCTGAATATTTCGGGGTGAGAGGCTGAAACAGGAGGACAACAGAGGAGGCTGCCCACAGTGGGGGTGGGGGAGGAGAAGTGCTGGGTGGGTGGGGCAAGAGCAGTGAGGAGCCAGGTCTGGGTGGGTGGATGACGAGTGACTCAGGAGGGCAGAGGTGCGACAAAGCCGGCAAGGTGAGGCCAGGCAGGCAGTCCCTGGGTAAACACCAGCCTGGTTAGAAAAGTCCCTGTCTTGGCTCAGAGAACAGGGGGGCACGTATGCGGACTGCCTAGGAGCACCTCAAACAGAGTGGGGTTGGCTCTGTGGCTCCCCACGGTAGGCTCGGCTCCCCAGATGTGCCCCCACCCACATCTGCCACTAGCTCCCTGCCCATTGACCCCGCCCAGTCCTCCTCAAGTTCACTCAGGTCCTCAGGGCCTCTACTGGCCAAGTGCCTTCTAAGCCTCAGGATTCCTGAACCTAGAATTCCCTTTTCCTCCACCTAAGCTCAGAGTAGGGGACTAGACTGCAAGGGCAGGCCTCTCCCTGCCTCTAGGAGACCTGCGAAGAGGAAAGCTGGGGAACTCGGGTCCCCTAAGGGTGCACTGCATCCCTTCCCCACACACTTTACAGCTCATTCCACCCGGTCTAGCAGCGCCCTGCAGCTATGTATTTTGAGGCCGTGTATTTTGAGTTCCCTTGACCCACGTGGGGCTGGCCTCAGAGAGGTTAACTAGCTTGCCCCAGGTCACAGTTACTCAGTGAAAGGCAGGGATTGATTCAACTCTTGGGCTGTATGACTCCAAGGCCGGTGGGTGTTCCACACAAGCTTCAGCTCTGTCCCAAAAGTTTTGCTTGTGCCTACCTGGCTCCAAGCTCCCCCAGGTGATAGACGGCGTGGTAAAGTTTCAGCGAGACTCATAGGGTCCCCATCACCACTGAGTGGCCCTTCTGCCAAGCTGGCGCAGAAGGGTTCCCTCGTCCTGCCAAGTTCCCACCCTGCTCAAAGTTTCCCCTCCTGGTCCCCAGGAATGGTAGGCCGGACCATGCCCAGCGAGACTCCGACACTCCGCAACGTGGCCGAGAGACCCACGGGCTCCCACGCGGGCCAATCCCGCCCCCGGCCCCACGCAGGGTCCCGACTGGTGGTCCCCCTGGATTAGCCCCATGCCGCAGGGCGGCGCCGGCCCGGGGTCCCCGGCGGGCGCCGCCGTCCCGGGCCAGAATCCCCGCCGCGCAGCCTTGGGCGCCCCAGCCAAGTTGGCGGGCGCAGCCAGCGGGACCCGGACGGCCCCAGCCCGGCCGCCTCCCGCTCCCCGCCCCTCCGCCCCGCACACTCACCGCCAGCAGCCGCCCGTGCAGCAGCAGCGCCAGCAGCAGCGCGCCCGTCGCCCGCCGCCCCATGGCCCGGCCCGCGCCGCTCTCTCGCTCGCTCACTCCGCGCCGCCCGCTCGCCGGCCAGCTCTAGACAGCGCGGCCGGCTCTCCACCGCCCCCTTTCCTCCCCACCCGCCCCGCCCCCGCGGCGCCGGCCCCGCCCCCGGACCGCCCCTCCCCGGAGCGCCAGGCCCCGCCCCCGGACCGCCCCCGGGCCGCGGGCTCTGCTTGCCCCAGCCGGCCGCGCAGCCCACTGGGCCTTTGTCTGGGCCCCCAGCCCCCTCCGCGCGAGCCGCGGCCCGGCCCGGCTCCCCGCCAAACCCGGCCTGGAGTGTGGGATGGGACGGGGCGGGGGACCGGGGGCCTGGGACCCGGGCATGGTATGGGGCCGCCGGGCCAGTCGCTCTCTCCTCTCCGATCCCCGGCTCCCCAGCTTCCCCGCGCGCCCCGCCGACTTCCACGCCCCTGCACGCCCGGCACGGCCGACTCCACTCGCGCAGCTTTTGAGGACCCCGGGATCTACTTCCCACGCTCATACGCACGGAGCTGGCACTCCGTGCCACACGTGCACGCCAGCTTCCACACCTAAGAACACCTTCATATCATAACTTTACTGCACGAACACACTCGTGCGCTACCCGGGAACACTTTCACACTCTGGACCCAACTCTCAAATACGAACAATCCTTACCGGCTCACACGCACACTTAACTCGCTTCCAGACTCTCACCTCCACCAGGGACACAGGGGACAGCCCTCACACTACACTGAGCCCCTCATAGGCTTGTTCTCATGCCACACAGACTCACGCATACATCCCAACAAGTCACTGAGCGGGAGGACGCCTTTTCACACAGATTCCTCACAGGCACGCACATTTCACACACAGGCCTACGTCATTGCCTGAACGCTAACCAGCCTGTTTTTTGTTTGTTTGTTTGTTTGTTTGAGAAGGAATCTTGCTTTATCCCCAGGCTGGAGTGCGGTGGTATGATCTTGGCTCACTGCAACCTCCGCCTCCGGGTTCAAGCGATTCTCCGCCTCAGCCTCCTGAATAGCTGGGATTACAGGTGCGCCACCAGGCCTCGCTAATTTTTTTATTTTTAGTAGAGATGGGGGGTTTCACCATGTGGCCAGTCTGGTCTCGAATTCCTGAGCTCATAATCTGCCCGCCTTGGCCTCCCAAAGTGCTAGGATTACAGGTGTGAGCCACCGCACCCAGCCTCAGCCTGAATTTTTTACCTGTTCTCACCCACTAATCACAGTGCCTCATAGTGGGCACTGGGTACTGAACTCTGCTGCCCGCCCCACCTGCACCATTTTCCATGTAAATCACTCACACACCAACTTTGAGTTACATAAATCACAGCCCCAGAGCCAGAACCACACCAACTCACACACCCAGGCCCAGACACAGACAGACCCTGCCAAAGCCCCATCACAGATGCTCTGGTAGATGGTAAAATCACAGCCCTATGATCTGTCTCCGACCCAGCGGCAGGCAGCAAACAGCACCAATTCCCCGGGCCTCTCCATTGCCTACTCTCAGCTCCCCTCTTTTGCCTGAAATTTCCAGGGCAGCCCCAGGCTGATGGGTGGAGAGGAAAACTATGTGTGTGTAGCTCTGAGGAAAACCTTTTGAGTAATGATAGAGGAGGAGAATAAAACTGAAGTTTCCATTGTTTCCTGCGAGAGTTGCTAGGTTCCAGAAATTCATGGCTGGGTTTGTAGCCAGGAGTGAGGTGATCTGTGGACAGAAGGAAATGCCCAGCTCACTGGGCAGCGCCAGGCCTGGCTCCGGAAGCTATGTTCCCTGTGATAGGGGTCCGCAGGCTCCCAGGCACATTGGAGCCTCTCATCCAGGCATCTGGAGGTTTGAAAAAACACTGGCATCCTGACCGCCATCCCAGATAACTACCCTATCTCCAAAAGATTGAGTTCTTCTGTGCCCTGTGGGGCATATTTCTGCGGGACCAGCTCAGAGTTGTAAAGAACAGAAACCACATCCGGAGTGGTCAGGCCAACTCCCTGGTCCCAACCCAGGCTCCAGGCACAGCACTGAATAAGGTCTATCTCTGATCCATACAGGGAGATAGGGGTGGACAGAGGAGGGACGCCCAATCTTGGCCCTCAGCAAACTCTTAATCTGATAGAGGTGTGGGGAAGAACTGTCCCTGTCCCGGTATCGTCCTCAGTCTGATAGAGAATCCTGCCTCCACACCACCTAGCCGTGCAATCTTGAGCACATTATTCAACTTCCATGTCTCAGTCTCTGCATGTAGAAAATGAGAATAACGTTAAGACTTCTCTCTTAGTGTTGCTATGAGAATTAAGATGAATTAATATATTTCTTTTAAAAAACACAGCCATTTCAGACACATGGTAAACATGAAATAAGTGGTAGCCATTTCTCTTTTATTACTATTTCTGGTGTGTTCCCAGTCTAAAGAGAGAGACATGACTCGGCCCTTGGGGAGCTCAGGTCTGATAGAGGAGCAGCCTCCACAGCTACCCCAGGGACCTCCCGTTTGAGGGGAGAGCACACCAGGTTTGTGCTTGGAAACTCCCTGTCTGATGAGAAAGGCTTCAAAACTCCACTGACTTCAGAGCTGGCAGGTGGCCAGCCCTAGTGGCAGGATTTTTCCAAGGCCTTGCCTGTCCGTGGATTTGTCAGCATCCGTGACAAATCGCATTTCATGAGCTGCCTCAGTGTCTGTTCCCTACCTCGGGCCCTTTAAGTATCAGAGCTTTGGCTTCTTGGATGATTTGCTCATGAGCAAAGGGGGAAAAAAAAGGCAAACAAGCAACCCTTTGTAGACGTTTGGTCAAGACTAACCCAGAGCTATAAGTCTTGCTTCCTCAAAGGGGTTGAGGAAAGAGATGGTAAGGCCGACTGGGGACTGGAAGGAGCTGGGCTGACAGGCAGAAAGCAGGGAAATACGGCATGTTGAGAAAGTCTTCCAGGGCGGCTCCGGCAGCAGAGGATTGGTCATCCACCTATTTATTCTGCGTCCTCTCCTTCCCACCAAGGGATTTGGCTGGGTCTGTTTTCGTTTGCAGTCCTCGATATGTTTAGCAAATGCTCTCAAGTTGCTTTGTCTAGAGCCTGGCTATCTCCTCATATGGCTAAGAAGAGGAGCAGGCGCAAGGCCTTCTGTGCTTGGCAAAACCTTGGAGGCGCCCATAATCTCTCTGTGCATATACAGAGTTCAGGGTGCTGGTCACACTCGAGGAAACAACTCAAGTCTCATACGAGGTTCCCTGGGCAGGGAGAGACTGTAAGAACTTGGGTAGGCAGAAACAGTCAAACAGCCTGACTTCTGAGAATAGGTGTTGGAGGTTCTGGAACCAGCAGCTGGAGTCTGTGGCTTACCTGTCCACTCCTCCAAATTCAATAAGACTCATCTTCTCCTGGCTTCCACTCCCATTCCAAATCTTTTCTCTGCCTGAGAGCTTATCACTCATCTTAATCACATTCCTTTGTCCATTCATTCATTCATTCATTCAGGGCTGCAGTGGACAGCCGGGCAGGTTGTTCACTGAACAAGGGTATGTGGCCAAGTGGGCAAATAGGAACTGTAATGGGCCCTGTTGTGGGGCTACATCTGCCCAGAATGGGTACTTTTTTTTTTTTTTTTGGCTTTTTTGCCCGGGCTGGGGGGCAGGGGGACGATCTCAACTCACTGCAACCTCTGCCTCATGGGTTCAAGCAATTCTCCTGCCTCAGCCTCCCAAGTAGCTGGGATTACAGGCACATGCCACCACACCTGGCTAATTGTTGTATTTTTAGTAGAGATGGGGTTTCACCATGTTAGCCAGGCTGGTCTCGAACTCCTGACTTCAAGTATTCCACCCGTATTGGCCTCCCAAAGTGCTGGGATTACAGGCCTGAGCCACTGCACCTGGCCCAGAATAGGTACTTTTTGTTAATATGAATGAAGGCACTGTAAGGCTAACTGTGTCCCTACATTCATTCAATAATGAAACTAAACACCACCCACAAGAGTTTCCATGCCCAGGTGGGAAAACAAATGCTAACAGAGTAACAATATGTCCTTGGGTGAAAATGGAGAGTCAGAAATTGGTGTGAAAGAGAGTTGAGATGGAGGAGAGGAAAGAATAACATAGTGTTGAAGAAGAGGAGGAAGAGGAGGCAGGATGTGGGTCTAAGCAGGCAGCAAAAGTTCCCATGGAGAGGGCAGGGACCCCACAAGGCCTGGCATGATCTAGTCCTGACCATCAATCCAGCTACATCCTTTCCCCACCATAGTCTTTGCAGATGCTGTTCCTTCTCCTAAGTGCTTTTCCCAGTTAACACCCATCCCCCTTTCACTGTACTCTCCCTTAAGATTGAGTCCAAACATCACATTACCATAGAAACCTTCTCTGACCTCCCAAGCTAGGTCGCGTTCCCCACCACACTTTCCCACAGTCCCCCCGCCATGCTTTTCTTGTAGCATTTTTGACCATTGTAATTATTTGGAAGATCATTTAATATTATGAGGCATAATGAAGGCAGAGGGCATGAAGGTCTTGTTTCTGTCTTGGCCCCGATTATATCCCCTGTGAAGAGCACAGTGTGTGGCACAGAGTTGGCATTTGGATAATTGTTACTTAAATGAAAGAACGAGTAAGTTGGTTCAAACATGGCACACAGTGTAAATGTCCCTGTTTTGGTTTGTGCTTGGAACGAAGATAAACCCTGGGGAGTAAGCAGGCAAGGCAGTATATTGTGTTATCCCCCATCCTTTCCAGCCGGGAAAACTGAGGCCCAGGAGACGAAGCAGCTTGCCCAGGTCATGCAGTCAGTAAGAGGTAGAACCGGGATTCCTGTCCATGTTGGTCTGATTCTAGAACTCCTGTTCTCAACCACACCCATTCTGCCTCCCCGTGGGCTGTTCTCAACTCTGGCCAGGCAGAATTGCGCTTCTCCCAGCTCAGGCAGAAGCGTGAATCTTCTGAAAGTGCCTTTGGATTTGACCCCCTGCCCCAACTTGCTGTTTCCCCACTACCCTTCATCATTATCCATCACTTTCTTG